GCTACGATTCAATTGTTTGAGCACCCAAACAATGAACCCGTCGAACTAGAGCAAGGCTTAGAACACAGTAGGCTAAAGAAAAGAGTAGAAGCAGAGATTTTGGAGCTGAAAACTATGATTTCTTGTTCTTGTAGAAATGCTGCTGCTCTACCCCTTCTTATATAGGGCTTTAAGATCAAATAGCATTTATTTTGGCACTAGTTTTTTTACGCGCATTGCGCGATTGAGATAATGCCCAATGTTTTTTTTTTTTTTTTTTTTTAAATAAGTACTTTAAAGTATATTAAGAATTTGCGTATTTATATAGGTGATGGGGATATTGGGTGTGGGCCACGGACGCAGAGGGCTTATGGAATTGGGCCGACAAGGGGGGGGGGGGGACAAAGTTGGGCCGAAGGCCAGGAGGTGCCGCCGGCGCCACCCGGCGCCAGCGGCCAAACCCGGACGCCGACCGGGGCGCCGGCCCCGGTCGGCTGCGGCGTGCCCAGCGCGCGCTGGGCGCGGGCCAGCGCGGCCTCAGCGCCCGGCGCGTGGGGGGCCGGCGCCGGTGGCCGAACAACGGCACCGACCGGGGCGCTGGCTCCGGTCGACCGTGGCGCGACCAGCGCGTGTTGGGGGGCCACAGCCGGCCCCGGGCAGGGGCCGGCACCGGCGGCCGGGCAGTGACGCCGGCCGGGGCGCTGGCCCCGGTCGGCCACGGCGCGGGCCAGCGTGGCCGTGGCGCAACCGGCGCATTTGTCGCGCGGTCCCGGCGTCCCGCGGTGTTGGTCTCGGGCGGCATCCGCAGGCAGGGGGTGGGTGCGCCGAGCATGGTGAGTTGGGGGGTGGTGTGAGTGAGGTGGCAAAGGCAATAGGAGTCGAGAAAGGCGGAGAACGTGGTGTAAATGGCGAGAAGCAAGCGGAGTGGGGAAGTGGGGATGGATTGCATGGGACACGTGGACGCTAATGGAGGAGGGGGGCTTGCTATAAATAGGGGCCCTGGATCTCTGGCTAAGGGGGCAACACAGACACGACAGGCACTACAGTCTAGTGGTCTTGATCTATACTCTCAGTCCAGTCACCTGGGTTCGATTCTTACTAGTGGCATAGTCAAACATAGCCCATCTTGTAGGCCTTGTTCTTTGTATTTGGGCCGTCATTTTGGGCCTGTACCTCGGGCTTTGTATGTACCGCGTTGGGCCTAGTGCCCTACCCCCCGTTCTGTACCTTGTACCCGGTTTATGGTGGACCCGGTCCCAATAAAACCATCATTGGCACCGTCTGTGGGGTTCGCTACGATTAGCCCGTGTTTGTAGTCTCTACCACTCTAAACAGAATTCTGAGGTACACCGAGATGGTCAACCCCTCAGGAGAGCGCCCACCTAACCCCCCGCGTAGCGGAGACGGGCCGGACACCGGCCGCGAGGTGTCGGAGGAAGCACCCGCCTCGGTTCGCGCTGAGGACGGGGGACGCGGGGGTGGCGAACGAGCCAACGTGATTCACTCTGAGCAGCCCCCGGTGGGCCCGATAGTGGTACCACGTGGCCGAGGGCCGCGAAGGGCTGACGCTCGCGAGGTCGGATTGGAAGAAGCCGAAGGCGAAAGCGCGTATTGACCCCCGGGGCCGGCGACCCGAGCCAGCCCCCCGGCGGGGTGGTTAGACGCGATTAACACCAAAATAGATGAGTTGGTGTGGTGGAAGGAACATGGCACTCACGTTTTGATCCCCCGGATCTCCCTCACTCCGCCCTTCACCCCCAATATCATGAACGAACCTCTTCCCCCCAACTTTAAAGCCCCTGACATGAGAAGGTATGACGGTACAGGCGATCCGCAGGAGCACGTCCTGACATACCAGGCGGCTATGATGCTCATGGGGTCGTCAGACGCCCTGATGTGTCGCGCGTTCTTCTCTAAGCTATCAGGGGGGCGCAGCGATGGTTCACGAACCTGAAAGGCGGTTCGCTAGGCTCGTTCCAAGACCTGGCCACCCAGTTCATTACCCATTTCCTGAGAGGGAGGAGGCGCAAGAAGCATTTCACACATCTCGCTAGTGTCAAGCAAGGGGAGGATGAAACCCTCACCCAGTTCCTCACGCGGTGGAGAAAGGAGGAAGCCGAAGTGGAGGACATGGACGACCGGTCTGCAATGGTCATGTTCATTGCAGCCCTCCGTGCTGGGGAGCTGTACAAGAGCCTCCGCTGCAAGGCCCCCGGCTCGTACGCAACCTTGATGATGAAGGCAGACCGGTATTCCGAAGCTGAAGAAGCCAACCGCATGAAGCGTATAGAAGAGCACGGCAGCAGCAAGAAGCCAAGGATCGAGGAACCGTCACGTCTTAAGAAGGGAGCTAGTTATTCGCGGGAAAGTCTGGAGGATAAGGTGGTTAGCGCCGGGAGGAGGGGGAGGCCCGCGGCGGGTTCACGAGCCCCCCCGCCATGGGCACCGCCGGCGCCTACCCCGGCGCGGGCCACAACGTCAGCACCCCCGGCGGCACGGCCAGCCCCGCGGGTCGCCCCTTTCACCCCGCTTATCGCCCCACCTAGCGATATCTTAGCTTATGCAGAGGAGTGTCAATTGGTGAAAACATTTGGTCCCAACCAGATCCCGCCGGGTGCAGACACCATGAGATACTGCAAATTTAACCGCCGCTACGGCCACGCCACCAACGATTGTCAGGCATGGAGGAAAGAGATAGAGTTCCTCATACAAGCAGGGAAGTTGACGAATTTCATAGACTGGGAGCGGTTGGCTGCGAGGAACGCTAAACGTCCGACGGTCGGGCTTGTAGGGGAGGCTAAGGAGAAATCGACTGACTCCGGGGAGGGCCCGGGGAGGCGCCCAGTGATCAATGTCATCTTTGGGGGAGGGGCCTCGAGGGTAGATGGTGGCTGTTATGTAGGTGCAGTGGACGAACACCCCCAGTTGAAAAGGCTCCGCCGGGAACCGATTTGGTTTTCAGACAATGACCTGCCAGCACGGGAGACTACTTCGAAGGACGCGCTCGTAGTAGCCATGGTGGTCAACGGGGTCTGCGTCAAGCGCGTGCTTGTGGATACAGGCAGCAGTGTCAACGTAATGTATCACGACGTGTTCGTGAAATTAGGACTGAGCGAGGATCAGCTCCGACCGGTGAGGACGCCACTGGCTGGTTTCACTGGGGACACCATAGAGACAGAAGGGTTGATAGTGCTTCCTGTGGAAGTTGGTAACCCCCCGCACGTGAAAAAAGTGGACATGGAGTTCCTCGTGGTGAGGATAGTATGCGCCCATAACCTCATCTTAGGGAGGCCTGGGCTGGCAGCATTGGGCGGACTTATTTCGATGGAGCATTTATGTTTGAAATTCCATACCCCCGAGGGGGTGGGGACGGTACGGGGTGATCAGCATCTCGCCCGGAAGTGCTATGAGACGGCATGCGAGAGAATGCTGACGGAAGAGTTACCTGTCCATACCGTGGAGAAGGAGGCTGAGAGGGAGAAAAAGGTAGGGCCCGAGCCAGCTGTGGAGTTGGAGGAGATCCCCCTGGACCCAAGTCGACCAGACAAGTGCGTTAGGATAGGCAAGGGCCTTGCCCCGGGACTACGGGAACAGGTCATTGCCGTTCTGCGCGAATACTCGATGATATTCGCGTGGGGTCCCGAAGACATGCCTGGGATCGACCGCTCCATCATATCGCATAGACTGGCGGTAGATCCCAGTTTCAAACCCGTTAAGCAGAAAAGACGACACCTGTCAGCTGAGAGGGCGACACCTGTCCATCATTCGTGAAGACAGAAGTAGACACGCTCCTAGCGATAGGGCATATACGGAAGGCAATGTATTCGGCATGGCTGGCCAACGTGGTCCTAGCCCCGAAGCCGCCCACATGGCGCATGTGCATGGACTACACAGATTTAAACAAGGCATGCCCCCAAGACCCTTTCCCTTTGCCCCGTACGGATCAATTGGTAGACGAGACATCGGGATGTGAGTTGCTGAGTTTTATGGATGCGTTCAAAGGATACCACCAAATCTTCATGGCAGAAGAAGACGAAGAGAAAACGGCGTTCGTGACCCCAGATGGGATATATTGTTATCGGGTCATGGCGTTCGGTTTAAAAAATTCCGGGGCCACATTTACTCGTATGGTAGCAGAAATATTCAAGGACCTCCTGGGAAACATAATGGAGGCCTACATGGACGATATGCTGGTCAAGAGCAAGGATGCCGGTACCCACCCAGCATATCTGACCCAATGCTTCGAGATTATGAAGCAGAAGAACCTACGCCTGAACCCGAAGAAATGCACGTTCGCAGTGACGGGGGGAAAATTCCTGGGGTTCATGGTCACTCACCGGGGGATAGAGGTCAACCCTGAAAAGGCACAGAACATCCTCAAGATGCAGCCCCCCACATCGATAAAAGATGTCCAGAGACTCAACGGCCGGCTGGCCGCCTTGAACAGATTCATGTCCAAGCTCGCGGAGAAGTCCCTCCCATTCTTCCAGGTCATGAAGCAAAGGAGTGGCTTCACCTGGACCCCGGAATGCCAGGAGGCCTTCGATCAATTTAAAGCATATTTGTCCGCGGCACCGGTCCTTTCCAAGCCGGAGAAAGGGGAGACATTGTACGTATACCTCGGGGTAGCACCCTCGGCCATTAGCTCGGTGCTACTCAGAGAGGAAACAGGCATCCAGAAACCTATCTACTACGTTAGCAGGGCCCTGCATGACGCCAAGCTCAGGTACACCCCACTTGAAAAAACAGTATACGCCCTCGTGAGAACGGTCCGAAAACTGGTATACTATTTCCAAGCACACCATGTAATTGTCCTGACAGACCAGCCCTTGGGCACCATCTTGAGAAACCCAGTCTCGTCAGGCCGCATGGTGAAGTGGGCGGTCGAACTCTCCCAGTATAGTCTCGAGTACCGCCCCCGCACAGCTATCAAGGGTTAAGCCCTCGCTGACTTCATCGTGGAATGCACCATCCCGGAACGCCAGGAGAGGCAGACTGAAGAAGGCGCAGGAGAGTGGGAAATGTATACCGATGGCGCCTCGAGTAAAAAGGGTTGCGGCGGTGGCGTCGTGCTCATCTCGCCGGAAGGATTCAAGGCCTACCAAGCCTTCAGATTCTGCTTCCCTCTATCCAATGACGAAGCCGAATATGAGGCATTGATCGGGGGCCTGAGGTTGGCCCGGGCCCTGCAAGCACGCCACCACAAGATTCGGTCAGACTCACGACTGGTCGTGGGCTACGTCAACAATCAGTTCGAAGCACGGGAAGACAGGATGCGGCAATACCGAGATGTAGTCCAAAGACTATTGACATCCGTAGAGCGGTGGGAACTAACCCAAATTCCGAGGACCGACAACGGCGAGGCAGACCTTCTGTCCCGCGTGGCTCAAGGTGTCGAAGACCACCTGAGTTATGTGTCTAAGATAGCTCGGACAATTGACATCGATGCCCCCAGCATAGATAAGGACGAGGTCCTGGCTGTAATACCGTCCCCGGATGAATGGATGCAGGAGATGATCCGTTACAAGGAACAAGGTCTCGCACCCCACGACCCTCAACGAGCACGAAAAATAGTGTCCATGGCCCCGTCTTACCGGATGGTTGAAGGAAGATTATTCAAACTATCCTTTGGAGGGCCCATGCTCCGATGTTTAATCAGAGCAGAAGCCGACAAAGTCATAGCGGAAGTCCACGAAGGAGTGTGCGCTGCACACCAGGGCGCCCAAACCCTGGCCAGGAAAATTATCTTGCAAGGGTATTACTGGCCCCGCATCAGATCCGATTGCCAGGACTACGTGAGGAAGTGCCCTACATGCCAGCAATTCGCGATTTTACTCGGCAAGCCCGCCTCTTATTACACCCCGGTCACTTCAGCCATCCCATTCGCGCGTTGGGGCATCGACTTGGCAGGTCCTTTCCCCAAAGGGGTGGGAGGCCTGAAGTTCCTAATCGTGGCCATAGATTATTTCACCAAGTGGGTAGAAGCAGAGCCCCTTGCCTCCATCACGGGGACCCAGTGCCGAAAATTTGTATGGAAAAATATCTTCACGAGATTTGGATTACCCCACCAAATCGTGTCCGACAACGGCAAACAGTTTGACAACCAAGAATTCGCTCATTTCTGCGCTTATTACGGAGTGGAGCATATCAAGGTCGCCGTAGCCTATCCCCAAGCTAACGGTCAGGTGAAGAATGCCAACCGCACCATCATTAACGGGATTAAGAAGAGAGTCGAAGCAACGGGGTCCACCTGGTACGAGGAACTGCCGTCCATATTATGGGCCTATAGAACAACCCCCCGAAAAGCAACGGGGGATACCCCTTTCGCACACACATACGGGTGCGAGGCACGGACACCAGTAGAAGTGATAACCCCCGCGAGTAGGAACACGCGATTCCAACCTGGCCAGAATGATGAAGACCTCCGAGTTGAATTGAATTTCCTACAGGAGAGGAGGGAGGCAGCCAGGCGAAATATTGCTATCTACCAATAGGCGATTAAACGCTACCACGACGCAAGAACATGCCCCCACAATTTCCAGGTCGGCGACCTAGTCCTACGACGACGAGAAGCCAGCAAACCACTTCAGGGGGGCAAGCTAGCCAAGAATTGGGAGGGGCCGTACAAAGTGGCGGAGTCAGTGCACAAAAACACTTACAAACTTAAAACAATGCAGGGTAGGACCGTGGACCGCGTTTGGAACGCCCACCACCTACGAAGGTTCTTTCAGAAAATAGAATAGCTCAAGGTATGACAAATAACGCGACTCCCATGGCATTACCGTGGTATGTTGCATCGTAAGTGATTTATATTTCCCTTGTAGACGACATTGTGTCGCATGTTAATAATATCCGCGATTTTCACACATTGCATTGAGTGTTACAGACTTTCGGCGGATGGGGCATGTGGGTTATCGCAACCCACATGCGCGGACTTGCCCCCGGCAAGCCGCATGCAGTTGGCGGATGGGGCGTGTGGGTTATCGCAACCCACATGCGTGGACTTGCCCCCAGCAAGCCGCATGTATTTGGCGGATGGGGCATGTGGGTTATCGCAACCCACATGCACGGACTTTCCCCCGGCAAGCCGCATGTATTTGGCGGATGGGGCATGTGGGTTATCGCAACCCACATGCGCGGACTTGCCCCCGGCAAGCCGCATGTATTTGGTGGATGGGGCATGTGGGTTATCGCAACCCACATGCGCGGACTTGCCCCCGGCAAGCCGCATGTATTTGGCGGATGGGGCATGTGGGTTATCGCAACCCACATGCGCGGACTTGCCCCCGGCAAGCCACATGTATTTGGTGGATGGGGCATGTGGGTTATCGCAACCCACATGCGCGGACTTGCCCCCGGCAAGCCGCATGCAGTTGGCGGATGGGGCATGTGGGTTATCGCAACCCACATGCGCGGACTTTCCCCCGGCAAGCCGCATGCAGTTGGCGGCAAATTGCTCGTAAAAAAAAAAAAAGGAGCGAAAATAGACTATCACTAGATTATTAAGGTTGCCGAAATATCCGAAATTCCAAAAAAAAAAAAAAAAGGGAGCGAAAATAGACTATCACTAGATTATTAAGGTTGCCGAAATATCCGAAATTACAAAAAAAAAAAAGACTATGGGGCCGCAGAAGCAGCAGCTGAGCTAGAAAATCCAGAGCCTGAGTTGATAGTGAGATGGAGATCGGAAGGGTCTACACTCCCGACAATACCAGATCCGGCCACAGGTCCCGAGGGAGCCGCAACAGACGACGTCACACCATGTTGGGCCGCCTCGGGGGTCATAAGCACATCGCCGCCAGCGGGTGTAGTAGACGAAGGAGTGGCCCGAGCCCGAGTAGGTCGAAGAGGAAGGACGCCTGGCAGTTTCCACCCTTCAATACTGAAAGAGGTAAATCGACGTTCTAGCTTCCCGTAAAGCCTATCCTGCATATCCCGTTGTCCCATGTAGAACGTCGCATTGCATTCCTGCACCAACCTGTTTTGACCTTCTAGCGTCTCGCGCAACCACACCTCCGCTACCGGCCCCATGGCCGCCCTGCCCCCGGGGGTAGTGGCCCACTCCTGGAGGACCTGTACAAGTGGAGGGCCCGTATAATCCTGGTACTCCTGCACGGATTGCCTCCCTAACATGGCCTCGACCATACCTTCGCCAGAACGATCCGAATGCCCTAACCACAAGCGGATCAGCCCAGGCATACGTGTGCACGAATATTCACTAGCAGCACGCGCAAAATCTTCAGTCCTTTGCCAGTCCTCCACGGCACCCTCAAGGGCTTTGTCATGATCTAGCCGTTGTCTTTTATACTCCTCCTGCAAAGTTTTGTGGTCCCCCTACAAGACCTGGTGCTCCTCCCCTAATGTTTTATGCTTCTCCTGAAGGACCTGGTGCTCCTCCCCCAATGTTTTATGTTCCTCCTGGAGGGCCTGTTGCTTATTCCCCAAGGCCTGGTACCTCTTGCTGCAGCGTCTGGTGCACTTCCCTCAAGGTTTTTAATTCTCTTATGACGCGCCTACGAGCCTCCTCCTCTTCCCGGAGAGTATGCTCCAAACCTTGGTGTGTCCTCTCTAACTCGGCGTACTCTCGAGAGGCCTCCTGCTGGCGCTGGTGAAGCCCGATGGATTGCATAACCATCTGCATAGGACAGCGAACCACAGGATACAAATAGTTAAAAAAAAAAAAAAAAGGAGAGAGGGACCACTCACGTTCATGGAATCTCCAACTTGGCGGGAACTCAAGGTCTCCATCGGAGTACTATCAATCCAGAAGCGCCGATGGGCTGGTACCATATTTCGCACCCCGCGAACAATAAAGTCCACATGATCAGGATCATAAGGACGAAGACGAGGGCGGCCCGGACCGGTCGAAATCCGGGCGGCTAGAGGATCCCTAGCATCATACTCACCGATAGGGCTGGGTGTAGCCTGTGGCGCGGCTAGAGAGGGCCCATGAGAAGGGGAGTCCGCGGCCTGGAATGGAGTGACGGGGGAGAAATGGGCAGACGAAAACTGTACGTTGGAATCCACCCCATCCTTGACAGGGTCATCCATAAGTCCCACCGACGATGCCCCGTCATCATCATCCTCAACATCATCACCAGAAGCGGCTTCGGAACTAGGAGCCCGCCGTCGTTTACGAGTCTGGTAGGCCTTGAGCATTTGGGGAGTACTCTCCACAGGAGCTGGGCACAACGGGTATAACCATCAGATATATACATGAAAAAAAAAACAAAAAACAAAAACAAAAACAGATATATACATACACGTTAAAAAAAAAAAAACACACACAGATATATACATACACGTTAAAAAAAAGATATATATATATATATATGTATATATATATATATATATGTATATATAAATACGTACCTAGAGGCGGACCGGTGCTAAGTTGGTGGAGCCGAGAGGACTCATGGTACCTGCGGTGATCATGGGGACCATCGGCGCACAGTCGCGCCCTGTCATCATCCAGACCCGAATAGCCGGGAGGCGTATAGAGAGGAGGGTGCTGCACCCACACATTACTAAACCCCAACCCAGAATCACCAGTGGGATAACGAAGGTATACAAACTTCTCTTTCCAATTTTTTGGAAGAGATGGCAGGGAGGTCACGAAAGGGTGATTAGGAATAGGTTGAAGGTGGAGAAAAGATGACCCACTTTGGCTCACATTGAAAACATGTAAAAGCAAAGACAGGGAAGGTGCTACCTGGATTTCACGGCATTGGGTAATAAAACAGGTGATAAAGCGATAACCGTTCGGAGTCTTTTGACAGGGCGCTATCCCATGGCACTCAAGAAACGTCCGAACAAGGGGATGAGGGGGAAACTGAAGACTTGCCTGGATTGAATGATAATGCACGGCCACCTTATCAGCAGATGGGGGATCGGTCATGGTCCGGTCCTCCCCAGGCACGGTAATCTCAACATCTGGGCCCAGCCATCCGTCCAAACAATCAAGTTCGGCCTTGGAGATTTTGGCACGTAGGCCGCGGGGAGTAGAAGGATCGAGATGGCGGACGGAAGTATTGGCAGTTGGAGGGGCGCGAGGCGACATGGGCGACATAGGGAGTGATCTCTGGACGGGGCGAGAAGACTGGAGAGCTGGCGGCGGTGATTGGCGAACGACTAACACCAAACACCCCCAAGCCCCGGTTAGGTGGCAGAGTAGTGGCGAGACCAGAGACGGGAGCAGCAGGGCGAGTAGTGGGAGAAGGCGGCGATGGTTGGGGAGAGCTCATGGTGTGAATAACATGGGGCTGAAGCTGGGTTTAAAACGGTAAGCAGCGGGGGTGGAGGGAACTGATTATAGCAGAAGATGAGAGGATGTGGAAGTAGCAAGGGAAAATTAGCTTTAAATAGGGAGGATGGGGGTAGTTGAGATTTTAGGGGGGAACCATTCATCTAATCTGAGTGGGAAACGGACTGAGTAAAAACCCTACTTCTACTCCAGTTAGGTATCAAGATACCTAAATGGAGTGGGGGACTTGTGATGGGGATATTGGGTGTGGGCCACGGACGCAGAGGGCTTATGGAATTGGGCCGACAAGGGGGGGGGGGGGGGGGACAAAGTTGGGCCGAAGGCCAGGAGGTGCCGCCGGCGCCACCCGGCGCCGTTGGCCAAACCCAGGCGGGGGCCGGCACCGGTGGCCGAACAACGGCACCGACCGGGGCGCTGGCCCCGGTCGACCGTGGCGCGACCAGCGCGCCCTGGGTGCGGGCCAGCGCGGCCTCGGTGCCCAGCGCGTGCTGGGGGGCCACAGCCGGCCCCGGGCAGGGGCCGGCGCCGGCGGCCGGGCAGTGACACCGGCCGGGGCGCTGGCCCCGGTCGGCCACGGCGCGACAAGCGCGCCCTGGGCACGGGCCAGCGTGGCCGTGGCGCAACCGGCGCATTTGGCGCGCGGTCCCGGCGTCCCGCGGTGTTGGCCTCGGGCGGCATCCGCAGGCAGGGGGTGGGTGCGCCGAGCATGGTGAGTTGGGGGGTGGTGTGAGTGAGGTGGCAAAGGCAATAGGAGTCGAGAAAGGCGGAGAACGTGGTGTAAATGGCGAGAAGTAAGCGGAGTGGGGAAGTGGGGATGGATTGCATGGGACACGTGGACGCTAATGGAGGAGGGGGCTTGCTATAAATAGGGGCCCTGGATCTCTGGCTAAGGGGGCAACACAGACACGACAGGCACTACAGTCTAGTGGTCTTGATCTATACTCTCAATCCAGTTACCTGGGTTCGATTCTTACTAGTGGCATAGTCAAACATAGCCCATCTTGTGGGCCTTGTTCTTTGTATTTGGGCTGTCATTTTGGGCCTGTACCTCGGGCTTTGTATGTACCGCGTTGGGCCTAGCGCCCTACCCCCCGTTCTGTACCTTGTACCCGGTTTATGGTGGACCCGGTCCCAATAAAACCATCATTAGGTAATTCTTCTCCCAAAGGTTGAGTCCCCAACCCCAAGGCCCCCCCCCCCCCCCCCCACACTTCGACCCGACAGAGCATT